AAAGCAGTGACAAAGGATGCCGCCCCCATCCCTCATCCCCCGCTTCCTGTCTCAGAAGCAAGCCCTCTTCCCAGCTACGTATTCTGCCAGAGTCTGTACATAAACAAGCACATATGTAACCTTGGAAAATACAGAGGAACGCACGCTATCGGCATGGCCCCACTCTGCTCATTTCCCTTAATATATTAGGGACCATGTGGCTTCTTATTTAAGAAAATTGACCACAAGGTTGATTTTCGAAATTTGGTAACATCCGAGAGAATAAAACCAAAAGGCCCTGCTTAAGCGGGGAAAACCATTTCTCCAAACATCCAACTAACCTCAGAGGTCTCGCTGGCGTGGACAGGGCAGGTGGCGAGGCTGTCAGGCTTCTGTCGCCCCCTCTTCTGAGAAGGGCCGCCCCAGAAAACGTCCAGTTTCCGAGGTCCAAACGGTCAAGTCAGCACTTCACAGATGAACTTATTTCGCAGGAGAGAGCGTCCTTGTGCCCACGGGCCAGTGTCGTGGCTGGGACAGGAGTCCTGTGCTGGTGGGGGGGCGGGCAGGGGAAGAGGACCAGACCCTAAGAGAGGGTGCCCGAGGCCCTGACCTGGTCCCCCCCATCCTGCAGCCTCCTCGGTGATGAGCCGTTCCTCCGTCCCTCTGTCCCTCTGTCCCTCTGTCCTTCTGTCCCTGCACAGAGCAGGGTACAGGAGCCATGGCACCTGCCAGCTTTCAGTTCGGGCAAACTGCTGGGCACGGGGGCGGGGGATGGGGGAGGCACAGAGTGGGGCTTCTCACTGGCCACAGCCTGAAGCAGCTGCAGACTCCCCCTGCCCCCCTCGCCCTGGGTCACCTGCCTGGACAGCGCTCCCATGGCCCTTTGGGGAGCGTGCCTGGTCGTAGGCACTCTCTCAGCACCAGCTTCGCTCACAGGGTTTGAAACTATGTGCACCTGTTACCACGGGAATCCCCGCCCGAGCCGGCCCACTTAACAAGCCCCCGTGGCTGCAGGCCAGGCCTTTCGTCCATGAATTATTTACTGAGGACCAGGTTTAAACTCACTCTCGAGCCCTCCTTAGCGAGAAGAGGCACAGCGTGTGGAGGGCCAGGCCCACTTGGGAGCCATCCTGGCTGTGGGACACTGAGCAGGTCACGTACCTTCGTTTCCTGAAGCGCCAAATGGGGTTAATGAGAGAATCGGCCGCACAGGTGACGTTTAAACACGGTAATGCAGGTAAAACGCCACGTGCCCGACACCAGTCAGCCCTCCACAGACGGAGCTGGGTTTTCGTGCACAGGACTCGCTCCGTGGAAGGGTGGCCGCTTTAAGTTTGGGTGCATGTGGCTCTCATCTAATGGTTGGGAATGAGTTTTCACCACCCACTTCTTCATCGTCCTCAGCAAGTATTTGGGCAAGTGAGTCCCGAGAAATGGAGACACCCCTGCTTCCAGGCCTTGTTGTTTTCTCTTCCTCATCAGCACCCCTTTCCTGCCTCCCCCCACCCCGCCCTTCATCCTGTCCCTGTGGGTGGGGTGAAGGGGCGGCCCCAAGCCAGCAGCTCCTGTCCCTTGGGCTGGAGAAGGACATGAAGGCAGCTCCACACCCGGACATCCCTCTCCCCAGCCAGGTGGGCGTGGGGCGGGCAGAGCCAGGAGAGGGGTCACACCTGCATCGCTGCCACGAGTCCCCATCAGAGCTGCCACCCAGATGGTCCTGAAGGCAGAGGTCACAGGTCATGGCTGGGACAGGAGGTCACAGAGTCTTAGCCACAGTCACGTCTTGAAGGAGAGTGGGTCATCCCGGGCCTCAGGACCCGGCCCGAGCAGCTCCAAGCCTTAGCGTTCAGAGAAGCTACTGAAATGAAGTGACACCAAGGGAACTTAAGGGAACAAGGATGTGTACACACACACACACACACACACACACACACACACACACACAGGCACTCACTCGATTCTTCAGAGAAAATGAGTTGGGAAACTATAGGTGCCCTGAACGGACACTAGCTGAGCGGTTGCTTGGTTTCCCAGGTCCCATGTCAGTGAGACAAAGCTGCAGACAGGCGCCAGGCTCCTCAGGGCCAAGGGCCACGGGGGCTGCCCTAGCCCCACTCACAGGGTCTTGCTCAGTGATAATCAGTCGCTTCCTCCCTAGTCCCACCACCTCCATTGTTCCCTATCATCTGTTTTCCCAAAAAACAGGGTGTGCTTCCTAAAATGCAAATTTCATCCTATGTCCCCGCTGCCTAAAACCCTCCATGGCTCCCCATTTCTCTCTGGATAAAGACCCAAGTCCTTACCAGATCCTGCAAAGCCCCGTATGTCTTGGCCTTGACTGTGCTTTCCAACTCCCATTTTCAACTGTCTGTACAGTATAGCCACACCGTTTAGTTCCTCCATTCATCGTGTTCTCCCCAGCCTCTGGGCCTTTTCATGTGCTGTTCCCTCTTCTGCATTGCTCTTCTCCCCCATTCATTTAGCAAACTTTTTCTCATTCTTCAAAACTCAGCTTAAACCCCGCTTGGTCAGGGAGGCCCTCTCTGACCAGCTCCCCCATCTATTCTGGGACCCTGGGTTACATCTTCCCACAGCGGCCTGTATGTCTCCTTCTTAACCCTTGTTACCCATGTAATTACTTATCCAATGTCTATTTTTGTAGGTTAATTTATGAATGATTTTTTTCAGTGAAAAATACAAATTCAAGAACCTTGTCCCCTAGATTTTAAAATGATAATAGCTTTTACAAAAAGAAAATATTTGAGCAAAAGGGAGCAGATAATGAGTAGTAAATTGTTGTATTTTTTCTTTTAGAAATCCAGATGGAAACACCTAATTTAAACAGTTAAGGAATGATTTTTGAGGGCATAAATTAGGGGTTGAAAAAATGCCCTCTAGTATGTTAAAGTTTCTCAAATAATATTTGAAGGATATAAAGTGGGATTTCAACAGGACAGAAGAACTAAAACCTTAAAATCCACTAGAGGTAGATGTCACTAGGTTCCTTTTTTAAAAAAAAATACACTTTTATTGATTTCACAGAGAAAGGGAGAGGGAAATAGAGATAGAAACATCAATGATGAGAGAGAATCATTGATTGGCTGCCTCTTACGTGCCCCCCACTGGGGATCAGTCCCACAGCCTGGGCATGTGCACTTGACTGGAAGGGAACCCGGGACCCTTCAGTCCGCAGGCGGACACTCTATCCACTGAGCCAAACCAGCTAGGCCATTGTGGTTCCTTGAACTTGCTCTCTACCCACTTGCCTCAGGCCTTTGCACATGCTGTTCCCTCTGCCTTCCCTTCCCTCTTTGCCCCTCTTCCCTGCAAACACAGTGTCTCTCTCTCCATAGGTCTAAAGCTTTGATGGCCTTCAAAACTCCATGCAAATCTCCCCTTCTCTAAGACAAATGCCTCACACACACATACACACACACACACACACACACACACACACACCCCTTTTTAAGGGTCGGCCCAGCTGGCACACATTCCCCAGGTGTCCCAGGTTCTGGCTGATTGGAGTAAGCCCACATCCCTACCTCTATGAGTTCCCTGATGGCAGGAGAAAATACGTATTTGTCATTTGTAAAAATTCCTCCTGACCCACTTTGCTTTAGGAAACTCTATTTCCCCTATCAAATACCCTGAATGTTTCATTTCATTTTTCTGACTTATTTGTTTTGAGATTTCTGCTTGAGAAATTTTAGTAGTTTCATAGAAGCTAGAGTTGAAAATATCTTTAAAGGTAGTAATAATGATAATAATAACTGCCATTTGCCCGGGTTTGCTCTGTGCCAGGCTGTGTTCTAAGAAGGCACAGCAGTATACACTATCTCACTAAATTCCAACCACAGCACTGAAAAGGTGGGGTTTGTTGTCTCCATTTTATGGATGAAGAAACCGAGGCCCAGAGACGTTAAACAACTTGCCCACGGCCACACAGCTGGTGAGTGGAGCCCAGGGCGACTCCTCTATGAGGCATCGTAGAGGTAGGGTCTAGGGCCCATGAGACTTTAAGGGCTATGGGACTGTTTTCATTTCTTTGAGAATAAGAAGGAAAAAATAAAATTTTAGGTTGAAGAAAATTTTAATGTATAGTATTAATATATTTTTCTTTAAATCAATGTAGTTGTAACATATAATTCATTTTTAATATTGTTTTTATTGGTTTTAGAGAGAGGAAGGTAGAGAGAATAGAGAGATAGAAACATCCATTGGCTGACTCCTGCACCTTCCCTAATGGGGATCAAGCCCGCAACTCAGGCACCCGCCCCGACCGGGACCTCTTGGTTCATGGATCAATGCTCAACCACTAAGCCACACTGGCCCCATGTAAAATATAACTCTTATTACTTAATGTAAGAAGGGATTCATGAAGTCACAGGTGCCTAAGACCCACACCGCACACATACACACACAGACAGACACACATGCACATACACACTCACATACACATATACTCACACACACATGCACACACGTACACACACACATGCTCACACACACGTACACACACACACATTCACACTCACACGCTCACACACACGCTCACACGCACGTACACACACACACTCACACACACACACACACACACACACAGGCTTCTCCCAGGGGAACAAAATATCCCTCAGTTTGCAAAGTGCTTAGATCCAATAGGGATGCCATGCCAGCCAATTTGTAATTTTCTAGTAGTCACATTAAAATAAAGAAACAAAAAAACAAGTAAAATTAATTTTAATAATATATTTCATTTAACCTAGGGTTCAGCCAACTACTACTTTGGTCAAATCTAGCCCACCACCAGTTTTTTTTAAATAAAGTTTTATTAGAACACAGCCATGCTCACTTGTTTATGTTCTGTCCACACTGCTTTTACACTACAACAGCAGAGCTGGGTGGCCCCCAAAGCTGAAACTATCGCCCTGGCCGGTGTGGCTCAGTTGGTTGGAGCGCCGGCCTGTACACAAGGGGTG